AAGTGGTCATTAAGCAAAACCTCATGGGACCACTCCATTAGCAATGGCACTCCTGGCTATGGTCTGTAAATGAGTCACCCATGGTCATTAAGTGAGACATCTTATGACCATGACTTGTGGCCCCCATAGGCTTTCTCCAATGACTTTGCTTGTCTGAAGCCAGCTGGGAAAATTGACAATGGAGACCACGTGACCACAAGGACCGGTCATCACTTCTTTCAGTGCCAGCGTACCTTTGAACAGTCACTGAACAAGTGGTCATTAAGTGGGGATTACTTGCAATAAAAATGGACAACATCCAATTTGCTTACTTTGAAATCCATAAGGCAGACCCATGACAACCGAATGCCACTTAGGCCTCAATTAAATAAATGGCAATTTGTTTAAAATGTATATTAACATAGGCTGCATAGCATTATGGAATAGAATTAGGCACCTGGATTAAATCACACACACACACACACACACACACCTGCAAATACAATTCAAATTAAAATATATGTGATGAAATCAATGGAGACCACGTGACCACAAGGACCGGTCATCACTTCTTTCAGTGCCAGCGTACCTTTGAACAGTCACTGAACAAGTAGTTATTAAGTGGGGATTACTTGCAATAAAAATGGACAACATCCAATTTGCTTACTTTGAAATCCATAAGGCAGACCCATGACAACCGAATGCCACTTAGGCCTCAATTAAATAAATGGCAATTTGTTTAAAATGTATATTAACATAGGCTGCATAGCGTTATGGAATAGAATTAGGCATCTGGATTAAATCACACATACACACACCTGCAAATACAATTCAAATTAAAATACATGTGATGAAATCAAATGCAAACTAAAACAATATGAATTAAAATACAATTTAAAAGCTTGAGAAAACAGGCTGTCACCTCATGCCAAAATGATGCCAATGTGGGCACCAGTTGAACCTCTTTAGGGAGAGAATTCCATAAACGGGCTACTACCTCTCCCCCTTACGGGGATCCACATCACCACCTTTGTTGGATGGATCTGCACGGGATCCATTAGAAGATTTTTAAGACTCAATGAAGTACATGTGGGAAAAGGTACATCCCGTAGTGACCTAGTCCTAAGCTGTTTAGGTCTTTAAAGGTGAAAAGCAGCAGTGTGAATTAGGGATGGAAAACAATTTGCAGTCAATGTAGATGGAAAGCACTGGCATAATATGTTTGTATACATCAGGCTCTTGAGTAGTCTAGACTCTGTTTTGAATCAGCTGAGGTCCCCAGGCTGATTTAAAGGCAGCCATACAAACAACATGTTGCAGTAATCCAACTGAGAGATTACCAGAGTCTGAATAATCCCTGTTAGTTGACTCAGCCCAGGTAAGGTCATAGATATTAAATCAGTTGAAGCTGATACAAAAGCTACCAAGGCTACTTCTAGTAATGGTGATGATCCTGACAGTCAGGATCCCATGATTAACAGAACTGAAGAGTCTCTAAAACAGCGGTTCTCAACCTATGGGTCGCGACCCCATTTGGGGTCGATCGACCATTTCACGGGTTGCCAAGCAAGG